CCTAGACCTACACTTCCTAGACCCTTGAGCCAAAGCCCCCTGCAACTTTAAGGGAGCCCCTGACAACCCAGCAGGCAAACAGAGCTTTCTTTGTCCCAGTCCCGCTGCTGCCTTGCGGAGCGATAGCACGTGCCCTGTGCACACACGGGGGATGTGCAGGCAGGGCTGTGTCACCAGCTTCAACCCACTACCAGGGCAAGCAGGCTCAGGATGGGGGGGTCACCTCTCCCCATCAGGGTACAGACTTCAGCCATTCTGCCCAAGAACAGCTGCTAGCATGCTTGAGAAGTTCATCCCCTAACCCAGGTTACATGAAGAACTGATAACTGGTGTCAACATCACCTCCCCGAGTGCAAACCAGCAACTGTTCTCTGTAATTCCTTTCAAGACCAGCAGCCTCCAGGATCCTCTGGCACCAGAGAGGCCTGGAGCTCCCAACTTAACACACACAACTGCTACAAAATGGATCAACAGAAGATACAATACAACTTGTGTCAGGGCAATGCAGTTGTATTTGCGCAATACAATGTGCGACAAAACATAGAATCAAAGTTTTGTCTATTTAATCACAACTTGGGGAGTCTCCACCTTTAAGAGATGATACAGTTTAGGATGGAAAACACAAAGTTACCTGCAACTACAAGGTAATAGATAGTTACCTTCAGGTGAGGTGAGACAGCAGGTCACAAAACTTGGCATATTTGGACCAACAGTGAAATAAAGGTTAATTGTCCTTTGTTAACTGAGGTTTCCCTGGTATAATTTCAAGGACCTTTTAGATCAAAATTTCAAGTGGAAGCTCATTTTAATGTACAAAGTAAATCCAAAACGAAGTGGCATCGTTACAGTTCTGTCTCTTGCTGTAAGGCAGCAGGACTTTGAGGCACAGCAGGATCTGATGCACAGCAGTGCATTTCGGAACGCGTCCGTGGTCTCTCGAGTGCTTTTACTCCAACACGTGCCAGAGCTTTCCTGGGTATTACACACTCGCCATCTGGCTCTGCAGTGCAGCTAACCCACTGCAGCTCTGCACAGCTACTCAAGCTTGAAACAAAAAGGGTTTGGGCCTTGATCAGAACAAGTTTCTTTTTCAAAAGTGAACTAAGCGATTTCTTTCCGAGTGCTCTCTCTGGCTAACTCACATCATCTGCAAAATGAAACATGTACCTCAAACGGGTTCAAAAAAAATCAGTTCCCCATCTCTCAAGTCAGCAGTGATTAACTGTATCTTGTGTAGTGTCACAAGGTGTTTCTAAAGGTATCTGCCTTATGTGGGGCAGTTCTTAGGAATATAAACAGGTTACAACACCAACTTATTTTAAGACTGCAATAAACAGTATCTATTAAGAACAAACGTGGTGGTAGATAAAAGTCAAATGTCAGAAACAAGTCAACCAATTTGGAAAAAAGGCTTTAAAACCCTATAGAAAGGCATGAGGAGGGAAGGAAAAATGAAAACCACAATCCATAGTGTAACTTGCCAAACTTTTAATCTAGATCCTATTAATATACCACGTATATACACACACACACACACAGACACACACACACACACAGAGAACTGATGTATATTGAATAATATGCTGGACACCACAAACTCACCTGAAGGTGTAAGAGCTTTCAAGCCTGATCTTACATGTTTGGGTGACGCTTTTCTGCTCATCAGACAAGTAATACCTACACCAGCCTTGTCCCCAGCGCTACTGAGCTTCTATCACAGTGGCAGAGGCTGCTCTGGTGCTGCTAGGAGGGTGTCCCACTGCAGTGGGAGAACACGGGGGCATTAAACCTCCATCACACCCAGCCTTCCTAACCAAGCCTGCCCCGGCGTTAACCATGGGCACGTGTGCATGCAAATCAAATACCAAATCTACATGGTTGACAGCTTCCACAAACAGGAAAATTTTCACAGCTCCTCAGCAGCTGAAGGCATTCAGGATAGGGCATGACTGGATTTGACACAGAAATAACAATTTTTAAAAATCCATCCCTTGCTTACTGTGGGGTTTTTTTTTTGTGACAGTGAGGAGAGGAAGGGAATTGTCTCCTGTCTCTGTTAAACCAGCCTGGAAGACAAGAGACTCACATGGGTTCCTCTTGCTTTCTGCCAAGATCATCTTTAGTCAGCAGAAAATAACCAGTTCAAAAGCTATTCTAAAACACCATGAAGTTCTCTCCTGCCTTCCCTCACTCCACATCACGAGTGCCCGTAGGTGATTCAGCACAGCAAATGACAGCACGCCACGTGGGCTCATTTCTCAGCAAACTGCCTGCTCACATCACACAAGGAAGTAGGTGCTTTCAGACTGCCGGGAAAAGGAGGATGATATATTTTTTGTTGAAAGAATTTCTAGATTATTATATTTACAGTATTGCCCATGTTACAATTACGTGTGCCTTTAAAGGCATGAAAAAAGAAGACATCACACAGCCTTTAATTATAGAGATAGAGTTCAGGCTATGTGAAATGATGCAGAAGGTTCAAACTACTCTCTATTTCTTAAGTGAAAACATATAAATTTTCACTTCCATAAAAGTACACAGGGTGTCCCCATGATGCATCTTAATGAACAGGTCTGTGCAGCAGGTCAGATCCAGCCCACTGGATCACTCAGCGCTTTCATATTTCTAAAGACCTGATGTGAACGTGACCTAGAGCTATGTCTTTATCAGCAAAACGTTCATTTTGTGATCTCAACTCAAAGGTCAATATTCTAAGCTAAGCCTCAGGACAGTTTTCAATGGGAACACATCTGACAACGTCTGTGACTCAATATTCCCCACCTTACCCATTGTGCTGCATGTGGTATTTAGGAATCAGGACATTTATGGAGGTGAGTTTCACAAAACTTAGTAAAACCCAGTAATGATTGGGAATTACAGACATCACCCACACTTCACCTGAGGAGGTAACATATTGAAGGAAGACAGCAAAACAAGATAGCATGCAGCGCTTATTTTATTGCACTCATTTTTGTACACACTATCAGTTATTTCCACACCACTTTATTTACACAGAATCCAGATTCTGTTACTTTAATCATTCACTACTACTTAAATAATATTATCAGTGAATTGGCTGCTTTATCAGTTAAACTGGTAAGCAGGATATCGGAGAACTCAAGCCTTTATCAATGTCAACTTTGGGATGAAAGCCAGCTGCAAACAGATTGCACTACAGGTTAACCATCATTACCAGTTCTCTTGTCTACACCCGTCCCCATCATTACGGAGAGTTCTCATGCCGTGTTCTTTCCATTCCTCCCAACACCTCCACCTCATCAGCTGAGAGTAGGCAAGACTCAGTTAGGCAAGTGAGCTGGAATGATTCACAGTGGGAAGACACTGCTCCCTCTTACCCCCAACATAAGGCAAATAACCTTTAAACAGGCATCAGGAATTACCACCCCTCAGCATTGACAGAAATTCATAGTATCTATCATATATAACTATTTGAAGCTGTTATTTGTTTTTTAAATCATTAGCAATATGATTACAACCAATACCATTCTTTTCTAAAACATACAGAACCCCACAGTTTATGAAAAAGTTACTTTTATTATAAAGCACAGAAGCTGAACACCTGTAGCCAGCTTATAGGGTGTCCTAAGGAATGAACACCACATGTTCTTTCAGGTAACAAGGCAATTCATGTGAAAATATGTAAACATTTTATACAGAGCCAATATGAGAAGTTAAAATTGCATTCAATATGCACCACAAATATAGAAGACTGGTGAAATGCTTAGTTACTATTCTCTCCCCTCCCTCATCCCATATTAGAATATCAGATCCCTTATGAGCTTACCAGAAAATTACAGAAGGCATGCACTGCAGAGCTGACCCTTCCCATTTCTAAACTTAATCCTCCTTCCTTTTCCCACATCCCCTCCCATTCATGCATGACCATACAGCTACCAGTAATGTTTGCTGCCCAGATGATGCCAACAAACTGAGTCAGCCACATATGACCATCTGCTTCAGCTCACTCTGCTCTCCTGACCTCCCTTCTCCCTACTCTCAAGAAAGTTTCTGTGCAATAGCGTTTCAATACTATTCTAATAACACAAAGCTCATGTTAACACTGATAATTTTGCTCTGAGCATTAAACAACATTCAAGTTGTCCACAGGTTTAGGTTTTGAATGATATAATGAATGTTGTGGAGTCCCTTTTCACACTCAGCTTATTCTGAGACAAGATTTTCCTTTACCTAATTCCACCCAATTCCCGATTCTGTGGGTAAAGCTGTACAGCATCCAGCTAGAATCCTGTACTAGTTCTTCCTTCCCTTCACTGAAAGGGTGAAGTCACCAACCCACACTGCACCTAGACCAGCTAGCTCTGTGCTGCCAAGATGCAGCCAACTGAAACACCTGTAAACATCTAAGGCAAAGATATCAGACTGGGCTTGCTTGCCCACGCTTCCAAACAAAGTAGTGAGAGACCAAAAATCACACTTATTACCAAAAGAAAGCTACAACTTTTCTTACACTGCTGGAAAAAGTCGTTGTCCAGGATAAAGGCCAAACTCCACATCTGGCATGAAAGCCCAATACTCCAAAATACTCAGGTTTAGTTATCAGTCCCCAGAAATCTAGCCAGTTTGATACCTGAAACACCTTTTATAAGATTTCTCTTGGCTTTTGCTTTCTGAAAAGTTCTTGTAAATATTTTTGTCAATCAACGTATTTTGTTTCCAACTCAACAGCTACTTTCACCTCTTAATAGTTCTCACACTTGCAAAGACTACACAAGAACACCAAAGTTAAATAGCGACATTAAAAACTTCACCTTTGAGATACTGAGAAGCCACTGAAATAAAAGGCAGAAAGCAGTAACAATTTTTGCAGATGGTCTCAGTTTCAGAGGCACCACAACTGCACATGCACAAACGTCCCTCTCACTTTCAGCAGTAAGTCAAGCCTAAAAGATGACACATTTGTTCCAGCATTACAGACAGCTCTGCCTTGTTCACAGCAGTGAACAGCTCCTACTTACATATCCCAACAATAACAGAGGGCGTGTGCTCCAGTTGCAAGCAGAAGAGTAGATTGTAAAAATTGAAACAGATCAGAGAGAAGCATAAGATGACAGAGATCCATTCTTGTAGTCTCTTTCCTGTTGGAAAAAAGGAAAAGAGCATGTTTTACTTTTATCTGAGAGGACATTTTGAAGTCTGAAATAACACAGGCTATTCTACTGCCTGATGACTCGCTCCATTTGTCTCACAGGGAACTGAAACAGAAACTTATTTATCCACACGAGGTGTGCATATTTTGTTAAATGACATCCTCTTCCCCAAGCCACTGCTCACCCCTCCCCTCTGCCCTCGCCCAAATAACAGGGACAAATCAGACATCATCTCACACTGTCCTCGTTTCCTTTTCCCTGTGGTTGCTGGCACAACATTCCTCCACATCACATCTTTTTTCAAATTTGCATTTCATTCAATATTCAGTGTTGCTGGCACGGCTGAATCTGAGAATAAATTTCTGGCCTCAGATAGTCTGTAGTTTTGTAATGATTTGTAATATTTAAAACCTCAGAGCTTGTAAATGAAGGTGTTGTACTAACAGGAAAAAGCATCATCCTGTACTTTGGTGGCTCTCGAATTGCTTTTCTAACATTGCAAATACACTTCTGAAGCTTGTGTACTGAACTCCTGCAGTCCTGTCTTTGCCCTTCTGCTCGCAGGCAGAAGACTATGGCCCTGCAGCCATTCTGAGATGACAAGAGACAGAGTAAGCAAAAAGAGATCTGGCACAAGTTCTCTCTTGCACCTTGTGGTATGACTTTGTACCTCTACAAAAGCCTCATTTATTGCCTATAAAAAGAAAATGGACACATCAGAGCGTGGTAACACTTGGAATATGCAGATCACTAGCAGAAAGCTGCTGCCTGTCAGTCACTGCTAGATCCTCACAAGGCACCGATGCCGAGAGCAAGGGAACGCTCAGCGCCTGACTCGTACGGATTAAGGCATCACAAACAGACCTGTAATGCCTAAATCCAGGGAGGAGATCTGAGCTGCCCCCTTGGCCCAGAAGGGTCGTGGCTGTAGCCAGCTCTTCACCTTCACAGGCTGGGCCACTCAGCACAGCTGCCTCTTGCCCAGGGCTGCCCAGAGCTGCCCGGAGCTGTCAGCCCCCAGAGCTCACTCCCCACTCCCTCCTGAGCCACGAACACTTCACACCACTGAGCCTGAGAAAAAGCAAAGTTCCGGGGAACAGTCAGTGAGAACCACACGCCAGGTGCACGTTCCCTCACAGGAACAGGGGCGCATTCACACGTCTGGCATGTGTTCAGGGTAGGAGCTTCTTTCCTACTACTCCTCTTTGCTGACCTACTGGCTGATCAAATTTCTCTTCCTAAATCAAGTCCTCCTTCTCAACTACACCATGCAATGAAAAGGAAACTAGGAACATCAAAGGAGGATCAGTATCATCTCCAATGTGCCTACAATGCAGTATTATAAATAAGTGTGAACAAAGACTTTTACAGTTCAGAGTTTTGTTCTAGAAAGGCCATGAGTACATAAATTAACATCCTCTGCAGTAGAAGAGAAGAAAAAATCATAAAATTAAATTAAGACACAAGAACAAGCATATTTCAAGACAGCATCAGGTCACAATGTGGGAGATTCTATAAAGAGATCCCTGGAGTAATGAAAGTAAGAGTTAATTAACATTCACTCCCTGCACAAGAAAACCACACCCTGATTAGAGGAGCTAAGTGGGTAGATCCTCAAGGAACAATTAGCTGACTGCAGGGAAACAGTAGGCTCCTTACTCGCGAGTCCCCTGAGTTCAGTCCATGCCAAACACCACGCTACTCTGAACCCAGGCATCCCAAGATTGCCTGGAGACATCCGAGTCCAAAAACACAGCCCCAGCTCTGGACAGACTGGGAAGGCAAAGGAGCAGAGTCAGCACCAGTAACTTGTGTTTAAAGAGCACTCAAATTTAAAAGTATGTCCCACATGAAGGAATAAGGTGCCAGAGCCATAAAGTAAATGCTTAAAAAAATTGTGGAAATACTCCAGAGCCATATTCACTCTGGACAATTATACACAACCCTCATTAAGAATTCAGTAGCTCACCATCACGTGCTTCCACCATAACACATCTTCTGACATTGTTTATGTAATGACAGAAAAAAGTTGCACATCTAACATTATTACAGCTCACTGCTGACAGCTATCACTGCACATATACTGCTTCACAGATTTCCCAGGAACTTCTGACTTCAGCTAAAGATAAGGGTAGCACACTGTTTGGGGAGGAAAATCTTTTCCTTATGAGTAAGTGCACAGGTAGAGTCAGTAATTGCTTTTCTGTAAAGCACAGGAATTAGTCACTGCCTGGATCAGAACTGCATTGTCTAGACCAGGTCACACACCACCTTCTCTCAAGGCAAGGAAGAGGTGATCAGTACAAGCTGAACAGTCTAAAAAACCTGATAAACTAATGAACGCCTTTGTCTTCTTAAAATTACTTGGCTCTATGCAAGTAAGAACAACTATTTTTCTAGTAATCGCTTTGAACACACAAACTACACTGTTCAGCTGACCAGCTGGAAACTGCAAGATACTGAAAATGCATCTTCCCTTTCCTAATGTTTCATCTCCAAATGTATTAACTGGGAATGGCAACAGCACCTAGCACTGCTCATGCTGGGACCTAAAAACAAGTGATGTGTTTTATTCTATAGGAGTTTGCAGTCATTTCCATAACATTACTGAATAGCTGCTGTGACTTTATTGAGTTCTGACAAACAGCAAGCTTTAAGTAGCCAAGATTAAAACAAAAATTCAAACGCCCCTCCCTCACTCTCTGAGGTGCCAGGGCTGGGCATCTCAGGGCAGTTCATGGAATAAATATTATGAAGTAAAAGCTTCTGTTGTTATCTTGCTTAGGAATCAAATTTGTATGTCTGCTTTTGGATGGAAAGGTTAATTTCTTTGTTTGTTTTCAAAGGGAAGAGGATTCTGGGCAGGGTTTAGTTTGAAAACCTCCACCCCAGCAGCCAGACCATGTGTGTGCAGTTGAGACACCAACCCAAGTCCCATATTGGCATCTGTTCACGAGCTGACCACCGAGCCCCTCCATCCGAGGGCTTCCTTAACCTCCCAGAAGCCGGCTTTAGGCGAGGTGTGCCACACACAGCGATCAGCCTCAGTTTATCGAGCAGAAATGTCAAACACAAAGGGGGACTGAGCCCAGCACGCCTCGCTGGCCGCACACACA